GACGGTGGGGACTTAGTCCAACTTTTAGCGTCACTTCGAAGGAAAGCTAAAGAAAGGTAAGCTCCGTGGACGTGATGCTAGCAAAGCTAGCTGTACACGTACTTCTGCAATGAAAGAAAGTTGTCACTCATGCACTGAATTATTGTGTGGAGGTGTTGACTGAGGTGTCGCAAATATGGGACAACGCTGTGACCAAAGTGCAATATAGTAATATGACATTCAGGAACGACCCGATTCTTCTGGACGGATCTTTACTGATTAAATTTATTTCAGCTCTAAGTATTTAATATCTAGGTGTTTTATGGGAATGTGGATCTTTCAGATCAATTTGAGAAGCAATTTTGATAGGTAAAACTTAATTTTATTGTGTCACGTAGTGTGGGGTGCTGGTCTTGACTTGGTCTTGGGTAGGTGGTCTTGACTACAACTCTGCTATGTGGCTCCTCGGTTGCATGTCCTCCCCCACCCACCTTCTTTCCATCCCCTTTCTGATGGATTTCCTTAAAAATAAATGCCACTAGTGGCAAAAAAAAAGTGAAGTTCATGCTATGTTAGGACAGGAGACAAGATGTTTCCATCCCTGAAATTATGATGCATATAATCACATATCTAAGTCTAAACTATGTTACAGAGAGTAAACATAATAAAAACATGCTTTATCTGTGGCACTGTTTAAAATGGCACTTTTCTAATGTAATAAAATTAAATACGATTGGTACACTTAATGATATTGTATTAGGGATTAGGTAATGCATTCAGCAAGTACTTTTACTTTTAATACTTTAAAAGCCAGTACTTTTTTACTTTTACTAAATGTTAATGTGGTAGTTTTACTTTTACTTGAGTACATTTTTGTCTGTGTATTTGTACTTTTACTTAAGTAAATTTTTCGAGTACTTTCTCCACCACTGTCTTCAACACAGAAGAAAACATGTATGATCATTTTGTCAAGGACACGACAAAGTTGTACTGTGACTCTGAAAGGGTTAACCTTAAATCTTCCAACTGAAAAACAACTCCACTGATTCAGAGCTGGTGCTGACAGTTTCCATGTTTGTCTGATGACAAAGTCAAACTTCTGTTAACATCCTTTGTATGGCTTTGGATGAAAGAACACAACTTCTCCCCACTGCATGCTTTGTTCTCCTAATGCGCACAAGTGTTTATTTTAGCAGGTTTGAAACAGCTTTGCCACTTGGTATCCATTTGCATAACTCAACAAGCTCTTCTGGCACGGCAGTATGTGAGTAACACACCTTCAACCAGATGAAATGAGGATAGATTTGATTGTTTGGATGGAAACGGAAGCCCATGGAAAGGAGGACACAGAGGGAAACAAGAGAAGAATGAAAAAAGAGACGGGGTTAAATATTGATACTTAATGTATTTTTCCTTTTCATCCTATGCATGCCTACAGACCTGTTGGATGGTTTTTATGAAGTATAGTCATTCGACATGTTAGACGATTTTACTAAAAAACTTGTTATATTATTTAGTTAAAAATCTATTGTCTTTTTTTGTTTTGTTTTCATTGTGCCACATGATCCAACAAATTTTAATGTGAAACAGGTAGTCTTAATAAATTATTGCAGTGGGTATTTTATTAAGGGAAAAAGCTATTTTAAAATGGCTTGATGCAACATGAAATATAATTAAACCAAATATTAAATCATAAATTAACTATGAGTGATCACATTTTTTGGTTCAATTTAATTAACAAGCTGCATGGTGATTTACTGATACATGAACTCAAGGCAGAGTCACTGCTTCTCCACACTGAAAGGACTCAGTTGAGGCGGTTCAGGTGTCTGAACATGATGCTCCTTAGACTCCCTGCGGAGAACTCACTGGAGGGATTCGCTCACAAAGAGGAAAGTTCAAATCAGTTTGTTTTAGTTTAACTCAGTTCACTTCAGTTATATTCAATTTCATTTCTTTGTCAATACAGAGGGTCGTGAAGGGTAACTGGGCGAGAAACAGGGTACACCCTGTAGGATAGTCCATGAGATCTGATGGTCAGTTCAGAGATAGTCAGTTCAGCTTAGCTTATTTCAATTCAATGTCTCCTAATTTCAGTTAGTTCATTTCAGTATAGTTTAGTGTGGTTTAATTTAACTTGGTTTATTTTAATATAGTTCATTTAATTCAATTCAGTGCATCTTAATCTACCCATCCAGTGGTTAGAGGCTTGTGCCTCCAACATTCTTTGGGCGAGATCCTGCATAGATTAGCACTCCATCGCAGGAAAACACAACAACCATTCAAAAATGCTAACCTGAGAGAACTTTAGAGGAACCAATTGATCTAACATGCTTGTTTTGGACTTGACAGGAAGTCAGAGCACCCAGACAGAACTCATGCATGCTTGATAAGAACATTCAACAAAATGCCTCAAGTCCATATTTTTAACCCACAACCTTCTTGCTTTAAGGCAGCAGTGCTAACAACGCCCCACCATGTAGCCTACATTACAAATGAATGCAATTCTAGTCTATTCAATGTAGTTTGCTTTGTTAGAGTTAAATTGAAAAAAATGGGCAAAAATAAGCTAACTGTTAGCTAAAATAGCTGCCTTAGTGTTCTGCAAATATACAAAATCTTGCCAAGTAGTTTTGGTCTAGTTTCTAGTGCAAATCTTAGTACACCTGAAATAAGACAAAACTAACTAATAAGTGCATTTTCAGGAAGATATGAGCTTGTTTCAAGTCAACAATTCCTTATTGATGAAAAAGTATTTGTTACATTGGCAGATGCATTTCACTTAAATCATGGGAAAATGCCATGTAAGGTAAGGTAATTTTATTTATATAGCACATTTTCAGCAACAAGGCAATTGAAAGTGCTTGGAGTAAAATCATAAAGCTCATATCTTCCTGAAAATATACTTATTAGTTTTGTCATGTTTCAAGTGAACTAAGATATTTGCACTGGAAACAAGACAAAAATACTTGGTAATATGTTTTATTTTTGCAGTGTAATGGTATGGCCTAGTCACATTAACTGTCAATATGAATTAAAACCTTAAGCTGCTTGTAAATTGTAATTAAAAAAAAAGAGAAAACTTAAGATGTGCTAACGTCTGTATTTCAGCATTCCAGTTTGTGCTGGTACAATACGATACTACTAAGGCAATACTAAGGCAGAACCCAAAATCAAAACAGAGTTCCACAGTTCCACAGAACTCTGTTTTGATTTTGACCAGTGTTTTTCAACCACTGTTCCACGGCACACTAGTGTGCCGTG